GAGAGAGAGAGAGAGAGAGAGAGAGAGAGAGAGAGAGAGAGAGAGAAAGAAAGGACAAATTTACTGTCTTCACATTCTGGAGCCATGTGTTCAAAGAAGGTCTGATATTGAAGGCACAAGCTGAGCTGCTTCCCTTCTAGAGCCCTATCTTGGACAAAATGAGGAAATGCAAGGACAGTAATCCCACCACAGTGACCCGCCCTGCCCAGCGGCTCTGTCCTTTGCTTTCCCAACCTGCCGAAGCCTTTTGTGTTTTTTGTTTGTGTTTCTTTGGCTCAAGTCCCCTTCCTCCATCTTCAAGGTGGCCACAAACACCTTATTTAAGCACACATTACAGCTTTTCAGCCATCACCTGCTGTGATTGACCCTCTGCCTCTTCTCATCAGGATGACATTGGGTCCCAGCTCTACCCTGATCTTTGCTCTCCCCATTGGCCCCATAGTGACAGCTGCAGAGCATTAGCCAGGCACAGAACCCATGGGGCCTAGGAATCTGGACACGCACACCTTCAGGGAGCCATAGTCTGTCTACCAGGGTGTGCTTCATTTTTCTAGCTCATTGACTGCTGATAGTGTATAGATTCAAGATCTGGTGGATTGGTTAAGTATTGTCCCATCACTGTCACCCCCAGAGGAACCTAAAGCCCAATGCAAGAGCCCAGAACAGGTGTCTCTGAGTCACCCTTGTTCCAATGCTATGAAAAGTTCTAGTAAATTTAGCCTAATATTGTCCTTGCATTTTTGCCATTAGAAAGAGAAATTATGGTCAGCCATATGTTTTATGAATATTCAATTTTGTATCTTACAAGATACTAAATTTTGAACTCCTTTTATATTGCCAGAACCCCACTTTTACTCTACATTTCAAAGGAGCTAGCCAGGGTCTCCACAACACCTGATTTTTCAGGCAGATGCATTTTTTGAACACCCCAGCTTTTGGCTACCTGAACCTGCGGCAATCCTTTATCAGGATTATAAACCCAGAAACCTTCAGTCTGCCTCTCCAGACATGCAAGCACAGTACTTGATGAAATCGAAGCTTGCGCAAGGAGAGATCAGAAGAGATTCCAATGGCCAGGCGATCTGTGGTTTCCCAAGTGCAATGCCACCTCTCTAGGGGATGTCACAGCAGGGGAGGCGTCCTGTCAGTGGGCAGAGGGAGGGAGGGAACCACAGGAAGCTGGGCTACTGACTCAACACCCAGGATAGGTCATGGGAATATGGACAGTCTGCCTGCTTACTCATTTGTCAAAAGGCAGTTGGTGTTCTGTGTCTCCTCGCCTGAATGCACCTGTTACCTCTGCTCCTCACCCAGGCACCCCGGGTTCAACAGGACCCCCAGGCTACATAAGCCACAGCATTCCTTGATCCAGCGGGAGTACCCATGTGCAACAGTACTAGAACACACTCTAAGTGAAAACACTGCCAGTTCTAATATGTGAGGCTGGATTAAAACCAAGATTCTAAATCAAAAACAAAAGAAACCCAAAACAAACAAAACATGCTATTCCTCTCTCCCACGTAATTCAAAATAAAAACTGACACTAAGCCACAGCTTAATAGGGTGTAACTCAGGACAGAAGGTGCTGGTTTAAACCCAGCAATTCCTGTGACTTTTAAAGTAAACATCAAGTGATTTTAAAAAACATTTTCCCTGCTTCTTTGGGTGGCCATACCTTCCTGGTTTGATTCATTCAACTTTCCTTGTCAAGCTTGTTGGACCGAATCATGAAGAATTCTCCACTTTGAACTTTTAAGGCAGTTATTGGAAAGGCCAAGGGGATGGGAAGCAAGCTGCTTCCTGTCCGGCCTGTGGCTCCATCATGGCTGAGTTTTTAATGGTTTTCAGAGAGGCATGGATGGTGGAGTACGCCTGCTCTGCAAGAATTGGAATATATACTTGATGAGTACCAAGTGCTTGGTGCATCTATTTCTGTTGAAGTAACTTTCTTAGCCTGCCTGCCATTCTGAAATAGGCATTCAAGCTCCTATAAATGCCTACAGTGTTACTAGTCCAGAAATATCCTAAGGAAATCAAGATAGGGAAAGCAGCCCTGACCCCAGTTTGCAGTCTAGAAACAGGTAAAGCAGATGTGGGTGCCACAGATGGCTGCAATTGCTGACTTTCTCCCACACGCTCGCCTATTTCTGAAACAACCACTCTTGTTCAGCTCATGTCACACAGTATATAGGGTTGTCTGTGGGGAGACGGAGAGCTTCTGGAAAACCCCTATTGCCTCAGAGGGCAATTTCTTCCCAATAGAACTAGATGAAAAGTTGGCCGGCAGCAACTCTTAAGACAGCATTGACTGTGGTTATGCATTCTGAGGTCAGCCAAACACTAAGGTTTTAGTGTGTGCCCAGAGTCAAGCAACCTGAGGTACAGGTGGGTGTGGACATGCCAAGAAGCAGTGTGGGCAGACATTGGTCAAGCTGGCTTCACCTGTCTTGCTTTCCATATTTATCAGGTACAGTCCTTTTCCGACTTTATCCACTCAAACAACTGAGTTTGGGGGGCTGGAGAGATGCCTCAGTGGCTAAAAGCATTTCCCACTCTTCTGGATGAGCAGAGTTTGGCTCCTAGTCCTCCCATCAGGCATTACACAATCCCCTGGAACCCCAGCTCTACAGGCATTTGACCACATCTTCTGGCCTCCACAGGCGCTCACATATTTGGGGTACACTCACAGACTCACATGCATAAAACAATTTAAATTAAAAAAAGAGGGGCTTAAGAGATGGCTCAGTAGTTAGGCACTCTGGTTGCTCTTCCAGAGGACACAGATTTGAATCCCAGCACCCATACAACAGCTAACCACCTATAATCCCAATTCCAGGGGATTCAATGACCTTTTGACCTCTGAGGGCACCAGGCACACATGGTACACAAAAATGCAAAATACTCACACACATAAAAAAACTAATCGCCTTTAATCCCAGCACTCAGGAGGCAGAGGCAGGAGGATCTCTGTGAGTTCGAGGCCAGCCTGGTCTCCAGAGCGAGTGCCAGGATAGGCTCCAAAGCTACAGAGAAACCCTGTCTCGAAAAACCAAAAAGGAAAAAAAAAAAAACCCAACTAATCTTAAGAACAATTTTTCTTCTCCCTGTAAGGCCCACTACAAACTCGGTGATACGAGTCTCTCAACTCCAGCTCTTTATCCTGATCTACGATTGTTTGCCTTCAACCCTACTCCACCTTAAACCATCTTTTCTAATCACATCTACCCTTTTTTGGAATATCTACTCTATCTGTCTGTTCCCCTGTGCATTCACCTTCTTCCATTTATTGTCAAGTGACTTCTTAAACTGTCTCCCAGGCAGAAATACAAGTTCCTGCAGTTTTTCATCTCATTACCTGTGCTGCCTATAAGTACAAAGTAATTCTCATCTGTAACTTTGCTTAAAACTAAAAACTAAATTACCTAGAGGAGCAGGTTAACCATTAAGCAATACCCTACAAGTGTATGCATATAACCAAACATTTTCACAGCCTTACTGGCACAGCAGTGAGTGAATAAACTCTTCCTTTTCCTATGGCAGGCTCTGACCGTTTACTTTCTTGCACACTACTGTCCTATTGTGTGTGTGTTAAAGTCCATTCCTCCTTCACCCACCACAGCCTAAGACAGGCCACATTCGCAAAACAAAGTAGATATTATTAAAATCAGTTAATTTTTCTACTTAACTTTTAATAAATGAGAAGAAACACAGTAGTCTTGTCTCATAGAACATTTATAATACATAACAATCCATAAAGCCTCGTGGTGAGGTAGGAACAGCTTTGGAAATAACACACAGTCATAAAACACACAGCAATTAGGGAAAATGTTGCTGCACCTGAGTTCTGTCTGCACCGGTGCTCAACAGGATGAGAGCCGTGTCAATGGCACTGTTGGCCCAGAGGACAGGTGGCAGCGGACGAAACCAACACGAGAAAAGTCTCAAAAAGTCACAGACACACTGACACTCCATTGTGCTGTTTCAAGGCAGACCCCTATCATGGCGATCTGTGTCTTTTTATATAACCACATATTAATTCTATGTTACATTCTCCTCAGTATCTATCTGCCAGACACTGAACCTTAATATTTTTGGTTTAAAAGTTTAAATTGATTACTATACGAAAGGCTCTTGTGCCAGTGAAAATGACTGCTAAATATTCCAGAGCTTGTTAGTACAACAAAATAGCATCACCATATACACATCTGTATGGATATATGCAGTGCTGTATCAAAATAGTGCGATTACAGTCCCATTTCCCAGACCAGACCGTGAAGCACTAGGACAGTTTCAATTACAAAAAAAGACAACAAAAAAACCTTCCACCTTCCCAAGACCTCTTAATACTGTTTTATCACTTAACTGAAACGTAGTATTAAAAAATTTTCTATTGTAGAATCACACTCCTTATTTGTGTATGACTACCTTAAGACAGCAGGTTAATGACATTTATTGTCCAAATGGTTATCTGCTTGTAAAACAAACATTCAAAACCAGTTTACACACCAAATACTTCACATTAGGTTTTATCTTTCCCCTCAAAACTACAGAAACTCAAAATAACAGAATGCTGACAAGACACACACATGTAAACAGCTTCCTGCAACTTTCCAAATTACACATCTCAGGCTAAAGTCATCCGGCGTTTTGTTTTTCTTTTTAATGTGAAAATACAGTAAAACGTTTAAGGATTGTTTTTCATGTTCTAGCTTGTATTTCTACAATGTAGATAGATACAGATACCAACGCCCCCTCCCCCCCAAAAAAAGCATTACTCCTACAAGCTAAGAGCTGACCATGGAAAATGAAATCCCTTCTTCCAAGGTGCACATGGCTTGGAAAGACTCCTGGTCGAGTGCAATTTGGGAGCAGACACCACCTTCTCACTTAGCGCCACATGACAGACAGGTCCACACTGGCCTTGCTCGAAGACAGGACGGGTAGAACCTCGTGGCTGGGACTGAGGCAGTGAAAGGAAGCACATTAAACAGGGGGCTAGTCCCCGAGAGGCCAAGGTAGCTTCCCGTTTCTTTCAAGAAGAAATAAGCTATTTTGGAAAAGACACTCAAGTCCCACAACACTTAAATATAAAACATGTCTTTTTTTCTTAAAGATAATGCTAATATAGCTAAAAAATGGGTTAGAAAGTGCATTGTAAAGAAATAAATAATTCTCTAAAACTCCAAGGTGAGTGGGTACCCATGGATTTTGCTATGAGAAACACCTTTGGAAAAAAAAAAAAAAAAAAAAAAAACCCTATGGTACCACTTTTCCTGAAAAATAGGTCAACAAAGCCCTTGTCCCAATTGGTGGGGCACACCTTCGACACGACCCCACCCAGAGTGTTTCTGAAGAACACTGGCTGGGTAGCGCAGGCTTTCAACCAGTTTACCTTGCTGTGTGTCATTGCGGAAACCACTAAAACCTGCATGGTGCCTGTCAGGAGTGTACTCGAGACAATTGGAGTTCTCTCGTACTCACCCATAGATCTCTAAATTTCATGTTTAAAGAAAAAAAGCAAAAAAGCACATTTTTGCAAAATTCAAAGTAACCACCCTCCAAGGGGTTGGATCACACATGAGTGAAGCATTATGTAGGCTGATGGTTGGCCCAGGGTAGTAAATGTGAACTTACAAACTATGTTCCAAAAATCAGATTTCTTTTCAAAAAAATCCAGCTGTTCTTAAGTAGGCCCGTTGCCAGCAACAGGCTTTTTACACTAGGGAAAGACCATCACTTCAAAAGTAACTGTCATACTCTAAACACTTCCATTTTCAGATTATTAAACAAAGAATTATTTCAAATCCCAAAAGTGAACTTTCCCAAAAGTAGTCAGCTATAAAAGTTATTGAAGTAGTCAGAGTACTATGTTCCTAGAAAAATAGAGCTATACACAACTGATATTAATAGTCACTCTTTTGAAGACAAAAACATGTACATTTTCTTCACAAAGCATTAACCTTTCTTGATCAGGGAAAATATAACGTAAGTATCTTCAAATGTTTGTGTTGGATTTGAAATCTGTGGCAAAGGAACAGCTGTGAATGACTTCCTGGGTGCAATGTGGGACACTGATGGAAAATGGAGCAGTCAAGGCATGATGGCTTAAAGACCTACAGACTTTCTCTTACTCATTTTGCTCTCTAAGATATGCATGAACCTCCAATTTCTTTCTTTCAAGTCACTGGCTCTTGGCAAAAATGCACAGGCTGTGCTTGCTGTGCAGAAGAAAGGTCAAATCTACATGACCCGTCACTATGAAAGGTTTTTAAGACACAATTTAAGATTAATAGTTGCAGTTCACAAAGACCAAGTCTTCATTCTCAAAAAAAAAAAAAAAAAAAATAGTCATGCATTTTGAAACTTTTAGCTCAACATCACCAATCCCAGTCTTTGAAAGAAAGCAATGATGGCAAACATGTATAGAGCTGTATGAGTGACTTTGGTAAAAGAAAACCACTTGAGATTTTTCAAGATAATTTAGATATGAAATCTCAATATTAAATAATAGCCTACCTAGTTTGCTTTTTCCCTGCTCTTATCCCCTATACGCTCCACTATGTGTGAACTCTTAATTCATTTTGAGAATGTTCTCAGTTTACTACTCAGCAGTAGAGAATACAGACTAGTAACTGCTCTTATTTCCTGCTAAGTCATGAGTCATTCTGAAACTCTGCCATTATGTTACGTTTTATGATCGCAAAGGGCAAGTAGCTATTCCCTCAAACAAAGGAAACAAACTTGATGATTCTAGAGGTCCAGCAGTTACAATTCTAACAAATAATGTATAACAATTGGGGGGAGGGAAGAAAAGCAGAGAAATTCCAGTAACAATTTTATTTATCCCCCTAATTCTTACCATGGGAAAACCAGGAATCAAATGTCATTATGTCATATAAAGTTTATACTTACTTTAAACAAAAAATGTAACATAGTGTTAAAACTGGCTTTCACAAAGTGTTACAGCGTAGCTGCACTATGCACTAGTATCACAAGGCGCTAATGCAGAACGCTCTCTTATGCAGTTCCATTATGTTCTTACAAAAATAGAATTAAACTGTGCGACCAGACAAGGACTTCAATTACACTACTTGGCAAAAACTTAGTATTTCAATGGAGTCTATTTTCTCTTGCAGTTCAAAAGCAAAGTCAAATATCACATCTTTTTTCAAGACTCACAAAGATGATTCGGGCTGTTTTTTTGGCACGTTTTTAATCTCTATCACGACAGCAGGGAGGCTGCCTTCAGCTTTAGTCCTCCTGGGCTTCTTCTCTAGATTCTCACTGAGTTCTAAACAAGATATGCTAACTGCCGGGGTCTTGTCTGCATCCTTGGCAGAAAGGACTTGAGGTCGCGCCCCGCAGCACTGCTTCAGAGCGCACTGAGTTCTGCAGGCAAGTTCACATGGGACTACACTTGATTTAGAGCCCACGCTGGCAAATTCAGGCTGGATGGTGGTAGCATGAATTCCGTGATTGTGAAAAACATCCTTAATGGTTTTGGCCACCTGCATGTATGAGGTCGGGTCTTCACATTTTATGTGAGCAGTGGCGATGATTCTGCTTCCAGCAAGCTGCCAGACGTGTAGCTCATGAACTTCCTCAACGCCTTCAACGGCTCGGAGCTCTTTTACCAAATGTTTGATATCAATTTGCTTGGGAACGGTTTGTAGAAGGATGAGAGCAGATTCCTTAAGCAATGGATAGGTTGTGTAAAGAAGTATACAAACCATTATCACACACAGAGTTGGATCTAAGTAGAGCACCCAGCAGGGACCGGCCTCTCGAACCACCGTCTGGGTGCTGTTGATGATCTCTACGGAGGTTCTGCAGGGATCACGGAAACATGGGTTTATGCAGAAGTTGTCTTCAGAACAGCCCTGCCAGAAGAAGTAAAAGAGCAGGGCATTCACTACCACGATCACGGAGCCCAAGGCGTCTCCGAGGACGTGCAGAAACACTCCCCGCATGTTCAGCTGTGCAGCCCTGTTGTCTTCCGACTCCAGATTGTCAGGCTCCTTGATAAGATTCCCGTTGACTTGTACATCCACTGGGTCATCACTTCTGTTCTTTTCTGACTCTACAATGAAGCAATACGATTTTAATTAAACACATGGCGAGTGCTCAGACAAGCATCCTGTCTAGTGTTGAAGACGTTGAAACTTAAAAAGCACAATAAAAGTATGCTGAGAAACAACACTCAATGCTCAATGGACTGATAGTCTGGGCACTGCCAGGCCATAGCAGGGAGGACTAAACTGTGTCCTTAGGCAAGTTTCCTCATTTCCTCCCCTGCCCCTCACTACTGGGTTTGTAACCTGTAAACATTCTGCTGTACTTTTCTGACACAAAGAGAAACAAAACTTAAGGCCATCACTTAAGCCCAGCTGAGGAGATAAGCCCTCTAACACAGCTGATCTGACATAGCTCTTGTTAGCAGCATTAGCCAGACTGCTTGAGACAAGTGCTTATCATAAATATTATACATATTCTGTCTCTATAGAGAAGGTTTACAAACTGACAAATCGGCAACTGAAGGCTATTGCCAGGTGGCAGCGGCACACATCTTTAATCACAGCAGAGACAGAGGCAGGCAGATCCATGTTGAGTTTGAAGCCAGCCTGGTCTACAGAGTGAGTTCCAGGACAGCCAAAGTTATTACACAGAGAAACCTTATCTCAAAAAAACCAAAACAAGGCCGGGCGGTGGTGGCACATGCCTTTAATACCAGGGCTTGGGAGGCAGAGGCAGGCGATCTCTGAGTTTAAGGGCAGCCTGGTCTACAAGAGCTAGTTCCAGGGCAGCCTCCAAAGCCACAGAGAAACCCTGTCTCGAAAAACAAAAACAAACAAACAAAAAAACCCAAAACAAAACTTGGAGTCAGACGGGCACACCTGAGTAGTTTCATTTTCTTCGGAATAGGAGAAAACCTTCCCCATGCACCATCTGCACACGTATGTTACACACTGGAGAAGTTTAACTAACTGCCTCTTAGCGTGATTTCGCCAGATTTAAACGGCAAGGATCACAAAAAACGTTCACGTCGAACTTGGGCGGGGCCGGCTGGTCCTTTCTCACTCCTGCTCAACACTCACCTTCCAAATTTCAGCCAAGAGCACCAGTGCTCAAGATGAAAAACGCTCACTAAAAACCACAAGGGAAACAACACATCGCCATCATGATGGTCTAGCACCATGATTGCCAGCCAAAGCCCTAAGAGGCAGACGCGCAACGTGCCCTGGCAAGGTCCCTAACCTGTGATTTTCCGGACTGGGTGGTCAGCCCAAGGAAACACACCCCCCGCCGCTCACAAAGGCCGCCTTTACCCAGCACCCACCCACAACACCGCCCCGCTAGCAACGCAGCATCAAACTTGTCCA